CGCTTCAATCCTGTGGTCTCCTTGCTTGCTGCCTTGGCCCTCTGGGGCTTCGTGCTCTATGCGGTTTTGGACACCGAGTCCGTGACGGTCTTCCGTGAGTGGAAGTCCTGGGTCACGAGCACATTCACCTGGCTCTACATCATCTCCCAGGCACTGCCTCCTGAGCATTAGGCCCCGAACCTGCAAGAAAGCAGAGATCTCAGGACTACTGGCTGTTCTACCTCTTCCCCTTGTGCTACTACTACGGTGACATGAAGCTGGGTCAGGCCATATAAAGGTGCTTGGTCACGGCTTGAGTTCTGAGTGCACACACCGCCGTCCGCAGGACGACGAGGAGCCCGAATACGGCGACCTGACCTACTTGGCCATGGTCTGGTGTGCGGGTGTGGCCATCGGCTTGATCTTCTACGGTGTTTCAGAGCCCCTGGCCCACGCCGTGGATGCAACCAACAAGTACAACAACAACGGGTACTTCAACGAGAATGAGATGGCCATCAACGGCCTGCACATCACACTCTTTCATTGGGGTTTCCTGGCTTGGATTGTCTATGCCATCACTGCGCTGACCATGGGCTTCCTGTCCTACCGGAAGGGGCTTCCACTCTGCTTCCGTACCACGTTGGCCCCTCTCTTCGGCAAGGCAACCTGGGGTTGGATGGGGGATCTGCTGGATGTCCTGACCATCGTCACGATCGTCGCCGGGCTCTGCACGTCTCTTGGCCTGGGTGCGCGCCAGATCGTCGGCGGCCTGCAGCGCCTCGAGTGGCTCGATGGCGACCTGACCGAGGAGCGGAAAGGTGCTGCTTCCCTGTGGCCGTCTCCGCTGTTTGCTGATTGCCGTGTTCTTGCGCTGTAGTCACTGTAGTCTGGGGTTCAGGGCTCATGCGCGTTTGCCTGCGCTCGCAAGGACGAGAAGACCAACACCGCCGCGGCGGTGATCGCCATCATCACGATCTGTGCCACGCTCTCTGTCGTTGCAGGCTTGGAGTTCGGCATCAAGACGGTCTCCTACAGCGCCTTCATGTGCGGCAACGTGCTGATGATGGTCGTGTTCGCATTGGATGAGCCGTGGTACATCCTCAACGTGATCGTCCAGAGCGTCGGTTACCACCTGAGCCTGGGTGGTCCTTAGGAAGCACTCTTCCTCTTGATCATAACATCAACCTCAGGGGATGTTGAAGGCAGTAATTTCTGTGTTGGGTCAGAGGGGGAACTAGGAATCACTTCCTCGAGATCGCCTTCGACACCGATGCCTTCGCCCAGATAGATTTGGGAAATGGGCGGCCCAACGATGGCAAAGGCGCCAACCCTTCCTGGATGGACTGGTGGACCATCTTCTATTGGGGCTGGTGGATCGCTTGGGCCCCTTTCGTCGGCACTTTCATGGCGCGCATCTCTCGTGGACGCACCATCAAGCAGGTGGTCATGTACACCCTCACCCTGCCCTTCATGTACGCTGTCCTGTGGTTCTGCATCTTCGGTGCAGCCGGCATCCGCATGAACCGCCGCGCCATCTGGTTGGAGAACATCGGCACCACGGAGTTTGGCAATGCGGACTACTTCCTCCACACGGACACGAACTTCCGGCCCAGTGCGGCAGGCAGGTGCTTCGACGTGCCGGCTAGCATCCCCGGCGATGCCTTTGCCGCCTACTCCGTGAACATCAACGTGAGTCCCGTGTGCAAGTTCTCCGGCGGAGATTCCGAAGGATACTGGTTTGACCTTATGGGCCAGTATTACGGCATGGGCCAGGCCTTGACCTTTGTGTCCATTGTCACCACCATCCTTTATTTCGTGACTTCGAGCGACAGCGGATCCCTGGTGGTGGACTTGATTGCTGCCAATGGCCGCGAAGCGCATGTGGTGCAGCGTGTCTTCTGGGCCTTCACAGAGGGAGCGGTGGCCATTGCTTGTTTGTTTGCTGGTGGCTTCAGCTCACTTGACGCGCTGCAGGCCGTCTCCATTGTGATGGGCCTTCCCTTCACCATTGTCATGATGATGATGTGCACCTCGCTGTGGCGCGCGCTGAAAATCGAGGCCGGCGAAATCGCCCCGAGAGGTCAGAGAACAGACTGGAAGATGCCGATGTATGGTGGCATCTTCGATGCCCCCGAATACTTGCTGAGCTGCGGAAGGTCCCGCCTGCCTTCCATGAACACTTCTATAACCTTCGCCTTGGCAACGCTGGCGCCGCCCATGGTCTTCTGGCGCTCGATGAGGGCCATGTCCAAGTACGAGAAGGGCGAAGCAACCAGCGCATTCCTGCACGGCATGCTCACCGCCACGCTGGGCGTCTTCTTCATGGCCTTCGTCATCCTGCACACCGTCTCGTGGGTGTTTCAGGCGGACGCAGCAGGTGCAAAGGAGGGCAAGGCGATGTTCTGCTTCGCTTGGATTGCATACCTCACCTTTGCCTCCATCCTGTCTCTGGGTCGTCACCAGATGAGGAGACTCTACGCTATCGAAGGTTCCGGCATCGAGGACATCTGCGCGTCCGTCTTCTTGTACCCACAGACGCCAGCCAGCTCAGCTGAAGCTCCTGTGCCAATGCAGCGTGAACGCTTGGTTGAGCGTCGCGGGTGTCCCTGACTTCCTTTGTACTGAGGCTGTGCCAGATGATGGAGCAAGTCAGCGAAGTGCCGGTTCCGAAACAGGTCTACAAGAAGGCTCAGGCGCCGAGTTTCGGTTCGCTGACTTTTGCTCAGCTTGTCTTTCACGTGTTACTTTTGTGCGAATCAGTGCAGGATCTAGCGGTTTTTGTTACGCAGCGGGCTGGGCCTCCTGTTCGGAAGCAACTTGCAAGATTGCGGCTTGTGTGAGGGTGCTGCAAAAAGCTTTACTTATCGGTTTTTCGCTGTCCTTGTGCACGCACGGAGTGTGTTTCTTGCCTCTACCCTTTAGCTGAATGGCAGTTGCACAAAGCGGCCGGTGAAGTGGACATCTAAGCCGCAGGCCGTCGGTTTTGGTGCGCTAGCAGTGAATTTGTTGAATAGATATGCCCGGCTTGAGCCAGCAATCGCTTTGTCAGGCCTCGCGTGCCAGTCGGCAAGTTCGGCGTTCATCGCAGGGTCTGCTCCTCTAGAACAATGGACAGGTGACTCTTGCAGCGCTCCTGCTTCCCGGGCCTCAGGACCAGATTGCCGAGCTCGTTCATGTGATGACTCTGCTACCTGACAGTTGGAAGCCATGCTGTACTGTGCTGACGAATACATGCAGCAAGGTGAAGGTTTAAGTCTATTGCAGTAGGAGGGGAATTCGACGGAGCATACACATGACATGCAGCAAAACTGCCTGTGCTTTCTGGTTAGGCCAAAGTGCCACTTAATGACCTCCACCTAGTTTCAACAACACTTTCCACAGTCTCTGTCACCTCCTGTCCTCGAAAGAGGGATAGTCATGGTGATGTGTAAAGTCGCCGAGCGGCTTCTGCCGACTGGACACAAGACTCGCAGCACTCAAAAGTGGTGTCACCTGGCGACTCTGCAGCTGAGGAGGGCCAGCACTGCCAGCACTTGTCAATGTTGCAGATCGCACGAAGGATCTTATCACAAAGGCAGCTGTTTCGCTTGCACGGTTGTCAATCCTCACGTGTCTTGGGTTCACCTGGAACTCTTACGAACAATTCTTCACAGATGTAAAAAGTCTACGGGCTACGAAGTCGTTCGTCCACAAAGCTCTGCTCAGATGCGTGCCGGCTGTTATGGCTGCCATGGCCGGAAAGCTGAAGCGACCGCCACGGGAAGATCCCGAGGCATTTGCCGCATGGTGTGAAGGAGTGTTGGCCCTTGAAAAAGCTGCAGAAGAGGAGGAGACAACAGCTCCCTGTCTCATATCTTAGCAGCCGTTTTTGTGGTGCCAATGTACCAAAGCCTTGAGAAGTGGCTGTGTTCGGTTTGAGGATAGGAGGTGCTCTTGTACATACAGGTATGTCGCAATGTTTGTACATGTGTTAGCACATGCATATAGCTGCCTGCATGTATTTGCAGAGAATGCCTGACATCTTCCACTGAGGAATTGCTGTTGTCTTGTTCTCAAGCAGAGCTGCAGTCCAGAGGGCTCGCAATTCTCAAGCTGCGTGTGGCCGAACAATCTACGGCTCTGTATGGACGTGCATGTCTGACGCTGGAGCGGGCTACAGGGGACTTGAATTCGCACAAGATCAGCCACGGGGACATTGTTGGAATCTTCGATCAGGGAAGTCGGCCGCTTTCCAAAGCGGTGCCTTTGGCATCAGCTGTGGCCACTCGTATACGGCCGGAAACCATACAGCTGGCTTTTGATGGAGACATTCCCGTAGACATTTTGGACGGACGACTCTTGAATCTCGCGCTGGTCTCCTCGGACGTGACCCTCAAGCGCTACAAAGAGGCCTTGGATATGCTGAAGGGCGGAAGAGCGCGAAGCAGTCCGGCCTCTGCCCTGGTGGGTGTGTGCTTCGGCGATGCGAAGCCCCGCTTCCACGAGGCAAAGTCGGAGGACAATTTTGCGCGTACCGATGCGATCGATTGCACATTTCTGGCCAGTGCCACCGGCAATTTGAACGAGCCGCAACAAACAGCCGTAATGAAGGCTCTGCGTGCCGCTGATGTGGCTGTGATTCATGGCCCACCTGGGACAGGCAAGACCACGACCCTCGTGTCTTATATTCTGGAGGCCGTCTACCGCAAGCAGCGATTGCTGGTGACTGCCCCCTCAAATGTCGCGGTCGACAATCTGCTGGAGCGTCTTGCCGACGCGGGCTGCCGATCCTTGGTGCGCCTGGGGCATCCAGCAAGGGTTCAGGACGGCAGCCTAGTTTTAGAACAACGAGGCAGAGAGCGACGGGCATGGCTTTTCAATGCTTTTCTCCAGAAGACTTGTGAGTAACTCCAGGAGAATATTCAGCAGTTCACCATGGACAATGTTGTGTACGCCTCCGACCAGGCCGAACTGTGCCGCGACATCAAAAAGGAGGGGCTGGGTTTTGGGGGCCGGGGGGATGGATGAGGGCTTGATGAAAGATGATAGAAGGTTGCTTCCAGTCTTCTTCTCGGCTTCGGTACCCTGTGAGGAGATCGACCAGATCTTGGGCAAGGTGAGGAGCAAGAAGCCACAGGCACCAAGCAAGCCCTTTGGCAACCTCAAGGAGCTTTGGCAGGTCACCTCAACAGCCTCTTGTAGGTCATTTGACTGTCGGCTTGTTGTTCAATTTGCTGTTCAGGCAGCATCACCGGGAACTGGGAATCTCAAGTGCCAAACCTGCTTTCAAGCTCTGCGCCTTGTTGCCCTTGCAAGTGGCTCCTCGAAGCTGATTGTACCTTGGAACATAGGAGCTGCGAACAGAGCTTCGCCAGCGCGAGCGCCGCGCAGTGGCGGAGGTCCTGCGCACCACACAGGCACTTGGCGCACAGGGGCTTTAAAGGGCTGAGGTTTGGCACTGGGCTTTTAGGGATTGGGGGGTTTTTAGGGATCAGTTGAGGTTCGTCTGAGTCTTTGTGTTGCCCGAGCAGCAAAAGAAATCTCGTTTCAAGTGTTACGGCCCGTTCTCGCGAATCTTGCCGGAACCGACGTGGAAACTATCGAGTTCAGGATGGTTCAGGCAGGTTTGGCGTTCTCAGTTCTCGGCATGTGCTAGCCATGCGAAATACTAGACATGTTCTTGCCTTTGTGTTTTTTGTCCTGCTGGTGATTCTATTGGTCCAGTTGTACGCGGGGAAACAGCAATATCTGTGATACGTCTACTAAGCAGAGGATCAGCTGTGCCGACACCTTTGAAAAGCCTACATGCCTGCACAGCCATCATGCCCGCTGCCCACCCATTCTTGCAGCGGCTTTTGCCGGCTATCTCGGATTGAAGGGTCAAGTTATCGTCTGTCATTTGTGGTCCACTGAGCATGCAGGGTTTGCCACCCCTCATTTCGTGAAGTTGATTTTGGTTCGCAAGATCGCAATGCTCGAAACGTCATGGACTCGGGCCCTGCTTGGCTGGTTCGACTTGAGCAGCAGTACTTGACATGATGTTTCTGATGGTCAAGGCTGTCCTTTCTGCAATCGCTTCCGGGTACTGGGTTTGCCCGTCCTCGTTCGGGTTTTTGGGTTGGGGACCGCCCCATGCATATCCAATTCGGGGTTTGGTGTTTGTTGTGCTCTCATGCTCTCAGAAGTTGCTTGCTTATCCACACTTCTTGAAAGAGTTCGGAGTTCCCCTGTTCAGGGGTTATCATGGTTAGCGTTCTTTTTCCTTTTCTAGGATGCTCGGCTCTAGGGTTTTCCATTCTCCACTTCCTGTGGTGTTGTACTGGTCTGCCGACTTCCTGTTGCTCTGTTCACTCCTCTTGGCATTCGAGCCGCTCCCGGCTCGGTTTCTGGTTGCGGCTTGAGGCTTTGCCATGGCTGTGTTCCTGGTGGTGCGTTATTGTCCATCGCACGTTTTGGCATGTTTTGGCAACCGCAGGGCGGTCACACGCCTCTGTCCGCATTCACGGTCGCTTTACTACAATTCTTCGGGCGTAGAGCCTTTCATTCTCGACGAGACTGGCGTAAAGCAGGAGCACATGGAATCTTGAGCCCATGTCGAGGTCGTTTTCGCCACATGCACCGGCGCAGCAGTCCTTCACCGAGAGATCAGGTCCCTGCACGCAGATTCCCCATTGGGGCTAGCATTGCAGGAACCTCCGGACCCGGTATCCATGTCAGTAGGATGAAGAGGAGTGGAAAGTTGGGACACCGAAATCGCAAGACTCTCAACAGGAAACTAAGTTAAAGCGATCCGACAGTGGATGATGCCTCTGAATGAGAACCCGAACCAGCCGGGTTGACTGACCGACTTGCTTCTGTATTGTACCAGCACCCATGAATCTGAGCTGATAGAGTTGCGTCCTGTTATGTCAAGAGCTGCTGAAACCACGGATGTCATGATATGGACACAGACTAGGCCTGAATTTGGAACGAGGTCCCCACCGCTTCTCCTGAACTAAGGCGTGGGCTTGGGTCAGCTGCATCTTTAGAGCTCCTGGGCACGAATTACTCCCATCGATCATTGGTGGGTGACTTACTGCGTTTCAGATACAATCACGCTTACTTCTCTTTGTTTCAGTTCATGTCTCTTGTGCATCCTCAAGGTTCCTGCCTGATCCTGTCTGTTTTTCTATCGCGTTCTCTGTTGACCGTTGCTAAAGCTGTGCAATTCGACCAGAACTAGTGTTGCCAAACTTGATGCGACAACACTTGGGTCCGTGGCTGTCTATCATGGTATTTCTCCTTGACTGTTTGCATGGGTGCTCCTTGCACTTGTCACTTAGCCTTTGGATCCACCGCACACTGCAAGGTTTGATGTCGTGGTCATCGATGAGGCGGCACAAGCGCTGGAGGTGCACTTAGTGTCAGAGACTGGGATAGTTGTTGCCTGACGTGAGCTCGGAACAGCTGGCAGGTGGCCTGCTGGATCCCTTTGCTCCTGGGCAAGAAGGCGGACACTGCGGCCTTGGCCTTGGCCTTGATGTCATCTTGAGACTCGGAGGCGGTTCTCGCGGGTGACCACCAGCAGCTGGCGGCCTGTGTGAAGTCGACGGAAGCCCAGCAGCAGGGCCTGGATCCGAGATCGGAGATGGCCTTAGGTGGAAGAGAGAGGAGCCGGAGCCCCCCTTTGTCCAAAGCTCTAAAGCTCTGATCTGAGGTCTGGATGAGACCCTCTTCGGCCGGCTGATCGACCGCTTCGGCGATGACGTGGCTTCTCTCCTGTCCATCCAATATCGATCCAACGAGAAGATCATGGGCTGGTCGTCCCAGTCCTTCTATAGCTCGCGCCTCGAAGCCGCACCATCCGTGGCGAGCCAGACTCTGAGTCTGCAGGAGGTTCCTTCCATGAACATCAGCGCAGAGATCCTGGAAATGGTCACTGCGCCCATGCTGTTCGTTGACACTGCCGGGCTAAGCATGTACCGAGAGGATGGGGAAGCCTCACGTTCTGACATCCAGCAGTCGAGATGCAATCCCGGAGAGTCTCGCTTTGTTGTGCACTACGCAAAGATGCTGGTGAGAGCGGGGCTGCGACCTGAGACCTTCACGGTAATAACACCATACAACCGTCAAGTCGAGCAGCTTCGCGCCGACTTCGCGGCGGATGCGGATGTTGAGGCTTTGAAAATAACACCCCGCATCAACACGGTCGATTCATTCCAGGGCCAGGAAGCGGATGCGGTCCTAATTTCGCTAGTGCGCTCAAACACGCACGGAGTCGTTGGCTTCTTGTCCGACTATCGCCGTTTGAATGTGGCAGTCACCAGGGCAAGGAAGCACGTCTTGCTGGTGGGCGATGCTAGTACAATCTGCAACGATGATGTGCTCAGTTCGCTTTACGGCTACGCCTGCGACCACGGCCGGGTGGCCTTCGTCCAGCAACTGCTGGATGAGCAAGGTGGGATCCCAGCAGATCCTAGCACCGCTGCTGCCTTGCAAGAAGAGCGTCGGCAAGCCCTTGCCAGAACATCTGTGCCTCGGCAGCCGGGGGCATGCCATCCTTTGGCCGTACATGCATGATGAATGTCTGCCGGGAGTGCGGGAATGCTTGATCGTAGCAGCTTCGCAGAATTCTCTCTCTGTGCTCTGATCTCCAAAGCCATAGATTCTCTTCAATAGCAAGCACCGACCGATTGGGTATGGCTTTCTGTGCCCGACTTGGGGTGGGCTGTCCACTTGCAGTTAAGCTGATCTTCTGTGAGTTCGGCCTGGAACAGAGAGAAGCAACGCACAATTCGCTCAGGACAAGTCAAAGGAGAAATTGCGAGACAAGGTGCAGGAGGAGGAGAAGCTCCGGCAGCAGTTTCAGAAGCGCCTGCGTCATGTTTTGGATGCTGGTCTGAGTTAAGCAAGTCTTTTCCGCTCAAGTCGTAGCTGCGACAGCCAGCAGACACGTTCTTTGACCGTTCGCTCCAATGCTGTCGGCTGACGCAATGGGGCAGGGAACACCGGCCACCCATCCCAAAGAGCTTCAAACAGCATACACCTGCTCTTCAAAGGACACTGGTCAGCCACTTCAGCTGCCGGCCAAGCTGAATCCGTACGAACGGGCTATTGCCCACGAGGTTTCTGAAGTAAGGGTAAAGAAATAGCGGCAGGAGTTTAGAGGCTTAGTACCGTTGCAGGATCTTCTTCTCTTGATGTGACCGTGACCTGCAGGTGGCCAAGGAGCTGGGCTTAATGCACGAGTCCAGAGGCTCTGGACCTTTGTTCAGATCGCCCGTGACATCCAGGGCAGTGCCTGTTCAAAGGGCTCCCACTTTGCCAGCGTGTCATGTGGTGCTTTTGGAGAGGTTGGGAAGGGTTTGTAAGTTCTGAAATTGAATTGGGGTTCTGAGTCCAGCCTCGATGCGACTGCCGCAATATGCAATGTTTCAAGTCCTGTTGAGTGGATGTCTGTACCAGAACTCGGCAGGCGAAGGCAGCGAGCGTCGCCTCGTGGTCACTTGGCCTCCACTTGGCCATTTTGACCTTTGAGCTGAAGCCGAGACCGGACTCTGCTTCGTAAGGTGTGGTCCAAAGACGGCCCCGTGCCTAACTTCCCAGAGCCCGTGGCTGCCGCTGCTGGCCCTGCCAGTGAAGGCCAAAAAGGCACCGTGGGGAGCGGAGGAGATGGGGCACGGGGGCCTCAAACGAGACCCGCTCTGTTTGAGGTGTCGATGGCGCCCCTGTCGCAGCTCCGGCACCGGAGGAGGAGACGGCACTGGAGGCCTTCGAACGAAGAGCCCGCGACTTGCTGGCCTCGCTGGGACACTTGGCTCGTGCAGTCTCGTGTACCAAGACTCCACCAACCACATATCCACATCTTGCTGCGCGCGCTGAGCTCAGGTCCGGGCCAGCCGGTTGCAGAGTGGAAGTCCCCTACGGACGTGGAGGCGGAGAAGCCACTCTTGGAGGGTTCTTCTGGAGAAAGGTGGGCATAGTGGAGGCTTTACTCTGGTGGTTTTCCGGGTCTGTGTGGCGCTTAAACACCTTCCAGCGCTTGATCCTGTGTGCTGCAGTAATGGGGATTTCGCCCTCCAGCACGGATGTGGAAGCAAGCCTAGTATGCCCGAGGTGGAGGTTCTTCAGCGGCTTGCAGGCCAGCACACTGCGACCGCGGTTAAGTTTTGTTGCAGTTCTGTTTGTGCATGCGACTTTCTCGCTTGATGAGCTCCTGGCACATGAGTCCTTCCCCACCCGCGTATTGAGGAAAAGCTGTATTTGTGCGTCGGTGTTGTTCCCGAATGTGGTGTTCCCGAGTAGTATTGGAACCTATGTACCGCGTTGCGATCTTAGCGGCTTTCAGGTTTCCCACCAAAAGTGGAGCACGCCGTGTGCTACTTCGTGGCAGGCGATCTGCAGCTCGAGGTGTCGGAAGCTGGCAGTGGCAAGAAGCGGCGGCTGCAGCTGAAGGTTTTTTGGCAGCAGACGGCAGGGCCAATGCCGAAGTCAGAGGCCACAATCAGGGCCCAGCCAAAGGGTGATCCCAAACGAGGTGTTGCCTGAACCCGCGAAGAACGCCGCAGAGAAGAGCGCGCCGGGCGCGCCCCCAAAGCCCACTGAGCGTGCCCAGGCCGCGCTGGGGATGAAGTATCTCTGGGGTGGCATTGCTTGAGGTGAAGATTTGGCCACGAGCCGTTTCCTGGTGGTTCTGTTTCCCTGGGGTCCCCGACCGACACAGACTTCGGGGAGTTTACAGGAACAATATCCACTGCTCAAGCCGTCTGTCGTGCTGCAGCTTCTTCTAGATTCTAACCAATTGTTAATTTCTGTCATCCAGCTACCATGTCAAGAGCCACTATGTCGACTGCAAGTACAAGCTTCTAAGAGGGCTGTACTTTGGCAGTTTGTTAACACTCAGGAGTCTTTGAAGAGGTTTCATGGTGTGAGGAGTGAGGAGGTTGTATACAGGGCGCGCAGCGTTGGGCGTCAGGCTCCTTTGGTACAGCCTCCTCTGCAAAAAACAAAAACAGACAAACAAAACACGCTCACACAGAGACACAGAGACACTGACACAGACACTGACACTGACGCTGACACGCACACACACACACACACACTTTCACAAACACTTTCACTCACACACACACACAAACACACAAAC